CACCTGCACGTTGTTGGCGGCGTACCACTCCATGGCCTTTTTACCGTAATGGCAAGATGCCAAATCCGGCCAAAACAGTACGGAACAACCGTGTTTCTTCAGGAAAGGCAGCAAACGTTTATTCAAACACTCTTTCACGTAAATTTCTTGGTTGACAGTCCCGGAAGCTATGAAAATGCTGCTTTTCAAGCCACAGGTACAGATGGCTTGCCAAACCAGATATTTCTTTGCGAACTTTGACAGTTTCATGTGCTTGAAAACATCTGCTACCTTTCCCCTTCCTTTTGCCGTATAAAACTCCTGTCCCGGAAGCTGCTTGTAGTCGGCTTTGACGTAGGTTTCGTCGTCCATTACCACGCAGTCAAACTTCGTCAGCATCGTCGTGTACAGCCTCCGGGATCGCGCTTTGGCCGTCGTATTTTGTTTATCATCGCGATTTGGAGTCACTACCTTCTTGTAAGTCGATAGTCCGGCTCGTTTTTTGGCTCGATGCACGGTTGTAGACGATACACCCAGCTTATTTGCGGCATCTCGGAGAGAGAGGTTAGGGTTTCGCTTGAAACTACCGGCAACTCTCTTTGTCGTCTCAGTGGCTTCCGGTTTTCGATTTCCCCCCGATCCAGACTTCCTGGCTGTCGACAAACGTTCCCCACACTTTAATTACATTTGTAACGGTTGATTTGGCAACTTTTAGCGATTTTGCCAACTTTGCGTGCGAGTAGCTCGGATTTTCGCGATGCGCGAGCAAAATGTTGATACGCTGCTCTTCTTGCTTGGACGGCATTTTGACAACTGAAGAGTGAATTCCAAAATCAAAATAGGAGCAACATTCTACACACACACACCTTCAAAATGAGGGGTGTTCAGGTTTTTTAAATGCAAAATTGAAAGAAATACGTCAAGTTGATATTGACCAAATTTTGACCGTATCACCCTTTAGAAGGAGTAATCCTCAAGAGTGACAAAATAATTACGAGTATTTTAAGTTGGATTGTTGAATACCTTGTATCTGCCAAAAAACTGCTCATGTTATAAAGAAGCATTCAAATTTATGGGTACAAAATGACTGTCGACCATTTTAAATTAATATTTTTCAAAAGCTTTTGTCAGTCAAAGAATTGCTCATGTTATAAAGAAGGAGACATCTCCAGCCAAGTTCTTGTCTTAAAGATGTTGTAAATACTGCTTAATGACATATATGAGTGTTCAATTAGATTTGTAAATAGTTCATTTCACACTTTTATACAACTGAAAAGCGCATGTTATTAAACAAATCATTAGTCATATAACATGTTTTGAAAAACATCGTAATAACCAATCAAATTAAATCGCAAAAAAGTATTCTTCAAAACAAATGTTAGACATAACCGAGTATGGGATTCTAAATCAGTTATTCGGCGTGCTAGGCTTGTAAATTCTCTAGTAGACCAACTCTGGAGGAACTTTTGTCTCGGAAAACATCATAATAACCAATCAATTTTAGTGGCATAAAAAACGGTTGATCATCGGATTCGAACACTGGTCCTTGGCGTGATAGATATGTAACTTCCTAACTAGACTAATTCCCTAATCTAATCTAACACCAACACAGCCAGTTCTTGAAAGTATCCTGGAAAATGATATACATACCTACATAATTTTTCTTGTCTATTGGATATATGTTTCACATCGAAGATGCGTCACACATATAAAAACGGCCAGGCCTACTGTGCAGCATTTAAGAGGCAAGATGATTCAGAAAACATCAGAAAACATCTCGTACCGTACGTTTCGATTTTGGTAATTATATGATTGGCAGGTTAAGTGATGCTCCATTTTCTTCTGACTGTTAGGGCATGACCACCAACTCTTCACGGAGAACAAATTCGTTAAGTTAAGATAACAATCCTAATAGTTTCACTTTCACATGGAAAAATATTGTTGTTTGAAAGAAACCTATAGTTATTTCAACATTAATTTGATCGTCAATTCAATCATATCTACCTAATAGATTCAACTGTTCTTCTTATACTCAATTCAACTATACCTTTGATCAATTATAACAACCGTCAAATGTAATTTATTCATACAATTTGGCTTCAAGTGATCATCATAAATCCACATACTTTAAGCTTGTGATGCGTAGAGCAGGCGATGAGATAGCTGGCTCTCACGCAGATGAACACGGTTCAAATCTAAGTTGAATGTTCTTGTTCACTTTTTTATGATTTTGCAGTTGTGTTTTTGAGATCGATAAAGAAGCAAAACAAACTTCCATAATATGTCGATAATGAAGAGCAGTTCGTTTAATAAACATTGTAAAATTTTGCTTTCCTAACAATAGTTTTCTTGAATCAACTAAAGCATAGTTGTATTTGAAGTTTGACGTTTGTTCATCTACTGAAAAATATAGTTGAGCCAACCGAGGAGTCAACTATGGACTATGGTTGTTGCCCTCTATATATAGTCAAATAAACTATAGTTTTTTTTTTTTTTTTATAGTTACTTCAACACTCTTGGGTCATTCGTGACTTGTCCGGGGATGAGATTTGAACTCGTGACTTTGGCGTGAGAGGTATGGATGTTAACCACTACGCCGGGGTCGCCCCCATAAACTATATTTTCGGGTTATCTCTAAAACAATTGAACAATATAGTTGTTTTGACCGGAAAACTAATTACGTCTGCTATAATTTGTTCTCCGTGTTGTCCTAGCCTTTTATGGCTTATGGCTATAGCGCCATCACTCGCTTTCTGAAAAGAGAAGAAAGAAAGGAAAAGGAGAAGGACAAAGGGAAAAGGATTGTGTGAAATCTATGAACATAAACAATATTTTTGATTTGAAATATACAATATAGAAATGCAAAACGGCGGTGGTCACTGCCCGAGTCTTGTCACTATTATCAAGTCATAAAAAGTAACAAGGACTAAAATGTGATCCTTTGATAACTGGAAAATCCTGATTTCCTAGATTGAACTAGGGTTCGGTGGCAGATCTTATGCCAGTAGCGCACCACAAAAAGGTGATCTCCCAACGTTACTGGTTTGAAAAGATAAAAATTTACAAAATGGAACGAACTCACCAAGTTTAGCCAATTGAACCTCAAGACTGCTAGACATGTGCAGGCATGGAAAATCATTTACATTAATTTCATACATTCATTTAAATTCATTTGCCTCTAACTTTTTTTCATCAACAGCATTCCGCAAAATGATGTATAGAGCGTTTGTAGGTTTTGTTATTAGCTACAACTTTAGTAAAGAATTCAAATCTGTATCTCTTATGCGTCACGAATTAGAGCGGATAGAACTCGTTACTGTTTTTCAGTGAATGTAAAATACATTCACTGAAAATCAGTAGTGGATTCTGTTTGCTCTGATTCGTCATGCATAAGAGATACGGATTTGAGTTTTTAGCAAAAGTTGTAGCTTACAACAAAACCCACAAAAGCTCCATACATCATTTTGCAGATTTCTATTGATGGAAAAAGTAAGGGGCAAATGAATGTAAATGAATGCACGAAATGAATGCAAATGATTTTCCATGCCTGGACATGTGTTGATGTAGAAGTCAAAATTGTAGATGAAGCTTGACGAAGTTCAACATGAACTAGTCCGATTTATGGTAGTAGCGCGGAATGTCTTCCGTCGATTTGAGATAAACAAATATTCGGATGTATGTAGTCGATTTTTGATGTGCATTGGCCTTTACGTTTCTAATAGTCAGGTTCAACGCTGCGACTCAACGAATGATGGAACTAATGATGGGACGAATGATGGGACGTCTCGTGGAGGTTCTACTTGGCTTCGCAACAGCTTCTCAGCGGCAAATAATAGGGACTTAGAATGACGAGCTAGAAATTGTCTCTTGGGCCTGGTTTTGACCAGATCAGCAACCGATTATAGATTTAAAAAAACAACTCCACGGAAAAGATAAGCGTCAGGTTCGATCTCCTAACTATACTAATTCCCTAAGATGAAAAACTTAGGCTTACTATCTATGATGTTCTCGTCAATGGCAGGAAAATCAAATTCTAGAGCAAATGCGTTTGTTCGTTTTGAAAGTACAAGAAGCGTCTTCTGAATTTAGAGGGTTAGAAGGAAAGGAGTGTAAGTGACTTTGCGCTATTTTTGCCATATAGTATATAAATGAGGTTCTTATCTAGCATACAGAATGGCACACGAATCAAGGAATGTGTTTTCAACTGAATTATTAACGTTCGAGAAAGTCGATGAAGAGAATCGATCAAAGTCACTTACATCCCTTTCCGTCCAACCATCTCAATTATAATTTCAACTCCTTTATGTCAACCTAGTCTTTTTTTAGATGAATTAATTAATAGAAACAATGAAAAAAAACGCCAATAATTGTAAAGCCAATTTGGAATCTTTTCATGTTTTGTTGTTGCATTATAAAAGTAAGATGCACATTTATTCAACTTTAAAGATCAAATCCGAATAATACATTTATAGAACATACTTTTCTAAATCTTATTTAAAACAATGTTTTGCGTGTTACTTGGGCGAGACTGAAAAAAAGTCCTTCGGTTTTTTTTCTGTTCAATTGTTCGATAGCTTTTATCTTCCAAAGAACTGCTCATGCTATAAAGATGGAGTCAACTTCAAAAGATATAAATTTCTTGAAAATTTCAGTTTGGTTTACTTACTTGCTATACTCAGTATATTGCATTTTCAACTTGTTGTCCCTTGTCCTTTCGACCTTTTTTACCATCGACTATTTGTTCCTACAACCTTTTACCCTTAGACCATTTGTCGGTTCTACCTTTAGTCCATTTGTATTTTTTTTATGAATCGACCTTTTGTCCTTTTGTGTTTCTTATGATTAGACCTTTTATCCTACAACCCTTATTCTATAAGCACATCAGCTACCCAACCATTCCTCACGGGTCACTCTAAACTGAACGCAGCTAAATGACTTGACCCCTTGACTAAATAATTCAACCTCGGAATAAAACGAAGGTGCTTCTTTTCATTTCCCACCCGCTCACAACATTCAACCAGGCATCTTCGAAAAGAGCATTCACCTAGTCAAAGCCCACGGTCCCAATCTATTCCTCTGGGGCATCCTGAACCAAAACATCCTACTGCTGACCGAACCCAAACTGGTCGAGAAGGTCCTGCTAGCGAAGCAAACGCAAAAATCGCTTCTGTACAGCTTTCTGCACTCGTGGCTCCGGACCGGGCTGCTTCTGTCCAGCGGTGAAAAATGGTTCCAACGGCGGCGAATCATCACTCCGACGTTCCATTTCAAAATTCTGGAACAATTTGTATCGGTGTTCAACCGGGAAGCGGACACGATGGTCGGACTGATGAGAAAGCATGCCGGACGGGAGGAATTCGATGTCTACTCGTACGTGACGCTGATGGCACTGGACAGTGTGTGCGGTAAGGACGGTGATAGGTTCTCGGTGTTTTCGTGCAAAATTGAAATTCTCCCGCTCTTCTAGAAACTTCCATGGGAACAACGGTCAATGCTCAAAGTGATCCCAACAACAGATACGTGCAGAATGTCAAACGGTATTTGCATTTTGCGAAGTGGAATTATTACCTTAAATCTTAATTTGTTTCAGAATGTCGGTACTCTTCCTGCTTCGGGTTGTCAACCTACTGGGAGGATATCCGAACCTCTACTCAATCGTCCATCCCAGTGCGTACGAACAGCGTGCACTAGTTCGAAAGTTGCACGATTTCACAGACAATGTCATAGCCCAACGCAGGCAGCAGCTGCAAAATAGTAGTGACCACAAGATGGACATCAACCAAAACAAAGAGAGTGTTTACTTGAAGCAAAAGATGACCTTCCTGGACCTGCTTCTGAACGTAACGGTAGACGGAAAACCGCTGAGTGATCTGGACATTCGCGAGGAAGTCGATACATTTATGTTTGAGGTTTGTGTGGTTTGGCAGCCCAAACGACATAGCTGACAAATGATCTATTCTAGGGCCACGACACTACCACCAGTGGCATCTCCTTCACCATCTACCAATTGGTTCTAAATCCTCACGTTCAAGACAAAATCTACGAGGAGATTGTTGCCATACTAGGAAAAGACCACAAATCGGTTGAATTGACCTACCAGTCACTGCAGGAATTCAAGTACCTGGAAATGGCCATCAAAGAGGGTTTGCGACTATTCCCACCAGTTCCGTTCATTGGACGGAACCTAGTCGAAAGCATTGAGCTAGGTAATCTAGATAACATTCAAAAGGCTTCATCGATCGCTTCAATGTAATCTAAATTCCCCAGATGGCATCACCCTACCAGCCGGTCAGGACATCCTGGTGGCAATCTACATGATCCACCGCAATCCGGAGGTGTTTCCCGATCCCGAGCGGTACGACCCGGAACGCTTTGCCGATGCTGCCGAATCGAAACGGGGCCCCTATGATTACATTCCCTTCAGTGCCGGATCGCGGAACTGTATCGGACAACGGTTTGCCATGCTGGAGATGAAGACGGCACTGATCAAGCTGATCGGAAACTATCGCCTCCTGCCGGGTGAATCGTTGAGGAAGTTGCGCGTTAAGACAGATTTGGTGCTACGGCCCGATGTGGGGATTCCGATTCGGTTGGTTGAACGACCGTAAAGGGGTGTGGGGCTGTCCACATTCTACGTGGACAGCTTTGGATAAGTTGTAGTACCCTGTGTACATTCAGCATTATTAGTCATATTAAAATAAATAATACGATTGCGTTTCGATATATAATACTATCACAGAGTTTCGAACAATAGCTTTGTATAATGAGAGGTTGAAACAACGCGCTTTTTTTGGCTTTCATTCAGACGATTCAACCTAGTTCGTGTTGCTTGTGTTGGTCTTCATTCAACCAAAACATAACCGGATTCGGTGTGGTTGTACCAGGTGGAACCCGGTAGAGATTTCTAAGAAGAAGACGACCACGTGGATTTTAGAGAAGAACAAGAAGAAAATAATGTACATCTCAATGGTATTTTTATAATCATTTTACGGTATATGGTACAACCTTAGCTGTTGAACAACCAGATTGTAGTGTAAAGACTTACTAAAAGTAAATTGGTACGCCCATCGCGAGCCGCTAGCACGCCTCTAGTGTTGGGAATAGAACATGTTTGACAGTGGTTTGTTTACACTTCTGGTGCAAGTTTGATCGAAGTAGTCGATCGCATTCAGAATAACGTCAAATGGAACTCGAAAGAAGAAAATATATTGTGCACAAACACCTGGAAAATCCGGAGTGGTCCGGTCCCAAGCAGGAAAAGTGCTGAAGATGCCGAAAACAACAGTTTGTCGAGTGCTCAAAACCTACAAGGAACCCCGGTCTTTCGATCCAAGATGTGGTACAACGCCAACTTTCAAATGGTGCGGACCATCCTTGCCAGGGAAGGATAGAAGTCGTCCAAATCCAATAAACATCCGAACCGGTGCATGAAGCAGAATTCCGTGGCCAAAAAGCGTGCAAGGCTCTTTTACGACCGTGTTTGCACTTTGATCGGTGACGAAACATACGTCAAACTCGATTTTAAGCAGCTTCCCGGTCAAAAGTTTTACATCGCGATTGGACGTGGGGATTTGCAGGGAATGTTCGAGCATGGACCCAAAGGTCAGGACCAATAGCGTGGAAGGAATTTATCGAAAAATCATGGTTCTCGGTAATAGAATGGAAGTGCACGCAGTAGTAGGTTTTTTAGATTTGTGGGTAGTTATATTTTTGAGTGCATGGGGGAATGCTGTCAACAATGCTGTCGGTTTGTTTACCAACAATAGCTGACGTTTTGTTTTAACCTAACTTTTTTCCTAACCTGAACTTCAGAGCTAGGATTAATGTCATTGTTGATGTTGATCAAAATGGAATCAGTTTTATCACTTAATTGTTGGGGGTCCAACTAGAAATCATGCAAGGCGGACCCAGGTACGATCCTTGTGTAGCGAGGACCGAATGGACCAGATCCCGCCAGTCAGATGATTGTCCGCAGGAAGATTGTTCAAAGGAGGATTGTCCGCATGAGGATTGTCTGAAGGAGAATTGTCTGCTACCGGCGAGTCAAGGAGTACGTGGAGGAAGAAGATTATCCGGAACTCTGAAGCTCTTTATATGTTCCAGGGGGAACGATACATTCGGATGCATCCTGTATCCCCATCAAATTTATCCATAAAATTCTGCTTATATATCCAGAACATCAGTCAGAACTTTTTTTCTCCAGACATCCTTATTCGATTTTTTGTCTATTTTTCAGTATATCCTGAATATCCCTGTTGATACTTCTGTCTATTCCGAAAATTCTTTCAATTCCGCTCGCATGCCGTCACAGTGTGGCCATATCTTTTTTGAAGCAACATGCATCAGGATGAGTGTCGTTCCCCAACGTTTTCCTTGAACGTCATTGATTGTCTCTGAAGATCTTTCCTGGAACTATCTTCCTGCGGACAATCGTCCAGTGGACAATCTTCCTCTGATCAATCTTCCTGCGGACCAGTGTTGGAAAAGTTCGCGATATTTCACGAAGTTCACCAAGGGAAACGTTCGCGAGTCATAGGGAACTTTGATGAACTTTTCCATCACTGCTGCGGACAATTCTCTTCCTCCAAATAATCTTCGTGCGGAAAATCCTCTTTCGAACAATCCTTCTGCGGACAACCCTCTTTCGAACAATCTTCCTGTGGACAATCGTCCTGTGGACAATCTTCTTCTGAACAATCTTCCTGCGGACAATCGTCCTGTGGACAATCTTCTTCTGAACAATCTTCCTGCGGACAATCCTCCTTCGAACAATCCTCCTGCGGACAATCCTCCTCCACATAATCTTCCTGTCGACAATCTTCCTGCGGACAATTCTCCTGCGGACAATCCTTCTTCGAACAATCCTCTTTCGAACAATCCTCCCACGGACAATCCTCTTCCTCCGGATAATCTTTCTCCTCGACTCGTCGGTAGCGGACAATATTCCTGCGGACAATCCTGCTGATAATCCTCCTTCGAACAATCTTCCTGTCGACAATCTTCCTGCGGACAATTCTCCTTCGTACAATCTTCTCCCGAACAATCTTCTTGCGGACCTCCTCCGAACAATCCTTCGAACAACCTTCTTCCGAGCAAACTTCCTGTGGACAATCCTCCTTTGAACATCTTCCTGTGGACAATCCTTATTCGAACAATCTTCCTGGGTACAATCGTTCTTCGAACAATCCTCCTGCAGACAATCCTCCTGGGAACAATCCAAATATATGATGTTCAAGGGCCCTGGAGCTAATGAACTATTAGATTAGATAATTAACTATTTTAACTAGTCCCGCTTTTTTTTTTGTTAGCATCCATGCCTCTCACGCCAAAGTCACGAGTTCAAATCTCAAAATGGCGAAGCAAAAAGAAACGTGCTAAGGAATGTGACACACCTCAATCTGACTGCCACGGCAGTGGATACCGCGCTTTTTTTTGCTGGCGCTTTTGCTGGCAGTTGTGCTGTCTGTGTCACTTTTGACACCTGTCCTGGTACAAATTGCTGTCTTTTGCTCTAGTACCGGGTGCACCAGGTACACTAAAAAAAACAGCTAGGTGAACCAAAAAAAAAATCGCGTGAAGGAGGTCCTTACCCTTTGGGTCCATGGTTCAAGTTCGTGTTTGCCGACAAGTTCACGAAGAAGGCCATGATTTGGCAAGCGATTTGCAGTTGTGGCCTGAAAACGGAACCATTCGTCACATGCTCGATGATGACAGCCCAAGTTTATATCGAAGAATGTCTGAAAAAGCGTGTATTGCCGTTCATCCGCAAGTATAGGGGCAAAGTTATGTTTTGGCCCGCTTCGGTCAGCTATCACTACTCCAAGGTGGTTCTAGAGTGGATTTTTTCCCCAAGCTAATGAATCCTCCGAATTGCCCAGAATTTCGACCAATCGAAAAATACTAGGCAATTTCAAAGCAGCGACATCGACGAAGCGGCGGAGCAGTCATCGGGCAAAATGGAAGAAATGTGCGGATTCCGTGTTCGTTTCCACAATGCGGGCGCTGATGGGCTCCATCAAGATGAAGGTTCGAGATTTCGTTCGAACTGGAGAAATGTAACCATCTAATGCTGTAACTTTGAAGTTTTAATGAAACTACTGCAAAGCAACGATTGATGGACTTTTTAAACTTATTGAATCACGAATTACAGGTTTTTTTTGTGCGTACCAATTTACTTTTCGTCAGCCTTTACCAATGGAAGGTGGAAAATCGTAAAGTAAGAAAATTTCTGATCGAAATTGTTCAATAAAAAGGGGCCTCCCTTAGCTCAGTTGGTAAAGACACAGCTACAAAGCAAGACCATGCTGGAGGTATTTCTTTTTTATCGAAATTTGACATGCATTCCTACATTCATGTCCTGGAGGCGACCCCGGCGTAGTGGTTAAAATCCATACCTCTCACGCCAAAGTCACGAGTTCCAATCTCACCCCCGGACAAGTCACGCATGACCCAAGAGTGTTAAAGTGACTATAATAACAATTAAAAAAACACATTCATTTATGCATTGTTTGTTCACTTATCTTGGCATCCTGTTGGTGGATCTCCTTCATCTTCTTCTTTCACTGAATCTGTTGCGTCATCTTCTTATATCTTTTTTACTTCTTCTGCTATCCGATCTTTAGTTGCTTGTTGGTATTCTTCTATATTTACTTTTTAATCTATCTTCTCTTTCTTCTCTCTATATTTCTGTTTATTTTCTTTACGACTTCATCATCTTCTTTCATCATCCTTCTTTATTTCCATCACCTTGGTTTTCATTTCTACGTCTTCACGATTCCTCCCATTTGCCTCCCATGTCATCTTCTCCATTTCTCTATTTTCCGCTTTATCTTCTTGATCTTCTTCGTCTTCTTCCGCTTCGTTTTCCGTTTCACATTCGCTTCATCCAAATTCTTCTCTTCATTTTCTTCTTCTTCTGCGCTATTCACGTTGTTCTCCTTAGTCTTCCATCAGCTATCCACTTTGTGTTCTTCTTTAGCTTCACCTTATTTACGTGACCGTAATAATTTTCTCCATCTTAATTGACCTTCTTTGATCTTCATCCTGTTACATGTGTTCCTTCTTCACATTGTTCCTTCCTTGCTTGCTCAGTTGTCTGCTTCACCTTCTTGCCGTTACACCGGGTTTCAGCTACTCTGCAAAATGGTGGTCTACTCCTCAATGTTTCCTAGAGCATCTCGTAAGCTTGCTGTGCCAATTTCGTTCTCTTGTCGTTGGCTCTCGTAGTTTTTGCACTGCAGAATCACGTGTCGCAAATCTAAAACCCACAACAACTGGGTGGGGCTTCTTTCTTCAATACGAACGTATGGTTCAGCCGCGTGTGACCAATTCTTAGTCGTGTTAGCACACGCTGGTCGAAAGTGCTTCCCCGTTCCGTCCACTTGTGCGTTTCGTCTTGGACCTCTCTCAGCTTGGAGCCTCTGGACGCGAACCATTGGTCGTTGCATCGTTGCCGTATTCTTTGCACCACCATTTTCAACGCATCATCGCCTGGGATTGGTATGTATATCGATGGGAGGTTGTGTGCTCGCCATGTTTGCTAACGTATCATCTTCGTTGTTTTCGTGGCTGCCGGCGTGTCCAGGTATCCAGCAGAAACGAACGGATT